CGCGCGCGCGCTCGCTCGCATCGCCTCGCGCGCGCCGTGTGCGGCGGCGGCGTCGCGCGCGGCGTCGACGTCGACGCGATGAAAACGCGTGGGCGTCGCGCGCGGTCGACGCGTGACCGATCGAAAGGGACGTCACCGGTCACGGGTGTGCGATCGAAAGGGACGTCACCGGTCACGGGTGACCGGTCGAAAGGTGCGGCACCGCGGTCGACGGGTGACCGGTCGAAAGGTGGACGTCACCGGTCACGGGTGTGCGATCGAAAGGGACGTCACCGGTCACGGACGACCGGTCGAAAGGTGCGGCACCGGTGACGCGGACGACCGTTCGCGCGATCGCCGGCGAGGACGCCGACGCGCGGACGCCGAGGACGCCGACGCGCGCCGCGAGCGCGGACGCGGACGATCGCGACGATCGCGACGGGGGCGCGCGCGCGCGCTCGGTCGAGGACGCGCGCGGGTGATCGCACGAGGGACGAGAAAAGAGCGACGATGGGGCGGTTGGGAACGCGATGCGATCGGTGCCCGTCGCGCGCGCGCGGGCGGGTCTCGAGCGCGCTCGCGATCGCGGTGACGGTGCTGTGCGCGGTATCGCTCGCGTCGGTGAGCGACGCGGGGTGGACGACGCCGAGGGCGAGGGCGACGGACGCGGGGACGGAGCGGAGCGCGGCGCCCGGGCGGGCGGCGAGGACGACGGCCAAGGCGCTGCCGAGCGGACCGTGTCCGCTCGCGCCGTTGGCGATATGTGAAAAGTTGAATTACGTCGTGATCGAGGAGGAGTTGCGGGCGAAGGACGCGGCGGAGTCGTGCGCGAGGATGCCGACGGGGAGGCGGTTGGCGTGCGGTTTCGCGCGCGGGGCGTTGGCGACGCTCAGTCGAGCGACGAATTTTGGACGCGTGGCGTTCGCGAGAGAGGCTCGCGTGGTGCCTCTGTTTGGTGGTGCGCGACGGGCGTCGCGCCAGGCGTCGTACGATCACGCCCTGGCGTCGCTGTGTGATCTTCGGCAGAACAAACTGTGCGGCGCCGTCGTGGAGCAGCGCATTGAGTTCGCCGGGAAACGCGCCGAGCAAGCGACGGAATGCAGCGCGGCGGATGCGCTCGGCGATCAGTGGGAGACGTCCAAGTCGATGTGTGCGCGCAAAGCGGCAGAGATTCGCGCGCAGAAGAAGCAGATGGACGACGAGGTGCGCGAACTGGAGCTGGAATACGAGAAGAAATTCGGCGGTCCCGCGTCAAAGGAGACGAATTTGAAAAATTTCAAAAAGTTTACCAAGTCGTCCAAGGGCAAAGTGCCATCGTCAGTCAATTGTCGCTCGGTGAAGTATGGCGACAAGCCGGAGAATGACGACTTGATCGTCGTGTCTCTGAAGGACGTTCGCGACAGGCTCGTGCAAACGCGCGCGTCGGGCGGCTACTGCAACAAGGAGGCCATCGACAGCATCGTGAACAGCAAGTCGGCGTCGTCTCGAAGCAAGGCGATGAAAAACCTGGTTCTCCCGGGAGAGTACTTCGAGCACTGCGACGGCGTGCTCAAGCATCTCGATTTCATGATCGATCTCCTCAACCTGCAGCGCAAGGCAAAGGTCGAGTCCACGGGCAAGCAATATCAGCCGTGGTGCGATGAGGTCGACGGAGGCGACTCATTCGCCTCGGATGGAACAAGCGCGGATGCAAAAGAGTTTGTCGCGCGTCGCAAAGAAATGTCCAACAGCGCCAAGGAGATTACGAGCAAGCGCGTCAAGTTTGAGCGCGAGCAACTGAAGATGATGGAGGAACTTCGCGAGGAGTGCACGACGCGCTTGAACGCGGTTCATAAGCTTCACTCGCACGCACTCACGAAGTGCCAAAAGCACGACTCGCGTCTCCGCGTGCTTCGCGAGGACATCAACACTACCGAGACAAACGTTGAGCGCATCGTTCCCGCGCTGGATCAAGTCATCACCGCCATCGCCATCGTTGGCGCCACGCCCGAATCTGCGGCGTCGTTGGCGTCCGCGATGGCGCTCGCTGAGCTCGCTGAAATAAGTCCGACTAAAGATCAGTTTGATCTCAAGCGTATGCTCGGCGCCGAACCTTTGGCGACGTTGCGAAAGGTGTGCACGCAGAGCGCGATTTTAGGCGCCGGCGGAGGCAAACAAGACGCGACAAAATCGTGTCCAGACTTTCAGTCTCCGGGTCCGATTTCATGCGCACAATCGTGCGCGGCGATGGAAGAGGCCTCGATTGGGCGCGCGGGGCGGAGAGACAAGCCGTTCTCGCTCGGCATAATCGCTGGCATTGCAATCGGGTACATCCTGTTTGCGAAATTACGGCTTGGCGGTTCATTAGAGAGCGAGGCGCAAAAGTCAAAGACGGAGTAATTTGATGATCTCATGCTTGTCCATTTCATTACACTCAACAACTCGAAGCCTATCGACGCTCCTCGCGCGGTGCGGCCCACTCGACACGAAGAATGAGGTTATCGTAACCGTAACCGTCGAGCTTATCGATCGCGCGCTGTCCGTCTTCGCGGTTAACCATGTTAACAAACGCGAACCCACGCGCCTCCCCGGTGTCGCGGTTGATAGCGACGTAAATTCTCGTAACTGGCCCGAACGGTCGGAACAGTTCTTGCAAGTCTTGCTCGCGCGTATCCTCCGACAAGTTGGAGACGCGAATGGAGTTTTCGTCCCGCCGACGGTCCATCGACGCCCCCGTGCCCGTGGCGCCCGCGCGCATGCTCGGCGGCACGTATCCCCCGGGCTTTCTCGCCCCAAACGCCCCGTCTTCATCGGGCGGCTTGCTCCCATCGTTCGCTAAATCCTTATACGGACACTTCGAAGTCCAGTGATCGCCCTTCTTCCCGCACGTGCGGCACACCAACAGCGACGTCTGCGCGCTCGCCATCGCCGCCAACGGATCGCTCGCCTTCTCCAGCTCACTCTTCGGCTGCACCCGCGTCTTCTCCAAGAATATCTCTTCCAGCGACACCGCCGTCATGCTCTCATCTCCGGGTTTGTACCGCTTGGCGTCTCCAAATTTTTCCCAGGTTTTCCTCTCGAGCATCCCTGGCGTCACCTTTTTCACCACCTCGTGCTCCTTGTACCGCTTCACCGTCTTCGTCCGCACCCCGGCGTCGTTGATCTGATACGTGATGGACGTCATCACGCCCTCCTCGTCCGGTCCGAGCTTTTCATTCGCCGGTAAATCCGAGGCGTCGCTCGAGCCGCCGTTCGCGGCTGCGATCTTCGTCGATCGCAGCGTCTCGGTCGTTTTACTCAGCGCCTCGTCGTCGGCGTCGCGCCTGGCGTCGACCGCGCGTTCGGTGTCGGCGTCGATCGCGTCCCATCGCGGTTTGATCGCCATCGAGCGCGCGCGCGAGGGGAGGCGGCGGGAAGTGAAGAAGCGCGCGCGAGAGAGGAGGGTTTTGCGAACGCGAGGGACGCGAGACGACGGACGGCGTGTGGACTACAATACGCCGCGGTGGCCGCGGTTTGGACTAGTGATGGTCGTGATATCTAGGCGTAGTAGAACAAATCGGCCTTCTTCTTGGCCTGGACCTGGATGATGCCCTCGTTGAAGTCCTCGTGCTGGATTTCGGTGCCGTCGCGGCGCAGCGCGAGCATGCCGGCTTCGACGCACACGGCTTTGAGCTGGGCGCCGTTAAAGTCCTCGGTTCCCCGAGCGAGCTCTTCAAAGTTCACCTCGGGGTTGACGTTCATCTTACGAGAGTGAATCTTCATGATTTGCGCGCGAGCGTCCTCGTTGGGATGAGGGAACTCAATCTTACGGTCGAGACGACCGGAGCGCATGAGCGCCGGATCGAGAATATCCGCCCGGTTCGTCGCCGCGATGATCTTAATCCTATCGTCGCTCGAAAAACCGTCGAGCTGGTTCAGGAGCTCCAACATCGTACGCTGGACCTCGCGATCGCCGTTGGTGTCCGAATCAAATCTCTTGGTACCGATGGCGTCGATCTCGTCGATGAAGATGATGGCGGGCGCCTTTTCTTTGGCCAACGCGAACGCGTCCCGCACCAACTTAGCGCCATCACCGATGAACATCTGCACCAACAACGGCCCAGCGAGCTTCAAATACGCCGCGTTCGTCTGCGCCGCGCACGCCCGCGCGATGAGCGTCTTCCCGGTCCCCGGCGGACCGTAAAGAAGCACGCCCTTTGGCGGTCGAATCCCAAGTTTGGCAAATTTCTCCGCGTGCGTCATCGGCAGCACGATCGCCTCCCGCATCTCCCGAATCTGTTTCTCGAGCCCACCGATATCGGTGTAATCATCCGTCGGCTTTTCATCCACCTCCATCGCCTTTACCCTCGAGTCGTACTCCGCCGGCAGGGTGTCGAGGATCAAATACGAATCCTTATTCACCCCCACCAGATCGCCCGGTTTCAGCGTCTCCGCGTCCACCAACCCCACGACGGGCAAGAAAATCGTCTGTCTCGTCGTCGTCTTCAACACGCACGCCTTCCCGCTCCGCTGCGCGTCCACGTCCGCCGTGGCCTGATCCTCCAACTCCTCCTCCTCCGGCGCCAGGTCCAGGAGCTCCACGACGTTCCCCACCAGGTACGGCAGCTGTTTATTCAGCTTGATCTTCTCCTTGTTATCCCGCACGCGCTCTCGCTCGCTCTGGCACTCCAGGTTTAACCTGTTGCTCTCGTCCCTGAGCACGCGAAGCTCGTGTTCGAGCATGCGCGAGCGCGCGAGCACGTCGTCCAGGCTCGCGCGCTCGAGCTCGGCGAGCGCGCGGGCGTGATCGTCATCGAACGCGTCGTCGAGATCCATCGCGATCGACGCGCGCGCGGGCGAACGCGAACGCGGCGATCTCACGCGCGCGATCGTCGGTCAACACGCGGCATGTCCATATTGAAGCACATATACACCCATGTGCGGACCCCAACCCTGGTGCACGCGACCGTTCGCGCGACATCGACGCGACATCGCGCCTCGTCGGGGCCGCGCGCGCGGCCCACGAACGTCCTCGGCCCGGCGCGCGGTTCGGGGATATTTTCTCCGATGTCCGCGCTCGGTTTGCGCTCGAACGCGATCCCGGTGAGCTCGGACGCGTCGATCGCGATCGACTTCTGGGCACCGAGCGCGTCGCGAAACATTCGCGCGTACTTTCTCACGCACGCCCACGCCGATCACGTCGTCGGGTTGGGGGCGCGACGGTGGTCCCCGGAGACGTTGGGGGCGCGGATTTACTGCGATGAGATCACGCGGGAGATTTTGGTGAGCAAGTGGCCGACGCTGGGGAGACACGTCAAGGCGTTGGAGCGCAATCGAGGACACGGCGTGCGGTTGACGCGAGAGACGACGATCGAGGTGACGCTGATCGACGCTGGACACTGTCCGGGAAGCGTGGTGGTTTGTGTGGAGGGGCCGAACGGGCGGTTGGTGCACACGGGGGATTTTAGGAGGGAGGATTGGATCGCGCGCGAAGCGTTGCCGAGAGCGATGACCAGGGCGCCGGTTGATTATTTGTTCTTGGATAACACGTACTGTCATCCGAAGCACGCGTTTCCGGGAAGGGCTGAGGCGACGGAGGATATCGTGCGGTTCTGTGTGTCGAATCCGGGACGGGCCATCGTACTCGGCATCGATTCGCTCGGGAAGGAGGATTTAGTCATCGCGGTGAGCGAAGCCATCGGCGCTCCGGTGGAGATTCCGGACGAGCGCTTCTTACCATCGTCCTACACTCGGTTTTTGACGGGGCATCGCGCGTGCGAGCGAGAAAACTTCATCCGCCGGTCGATGAACGAGTCGCTAGATGTGACGCGACGGACCCACGTGCGGTGCGTACCGAAGCAGCACGTGCGTCCGTCGACCTTGCGCGCGCTCGTCAAGGGATTGAGGCACGACGACGCGCCGCCTCTGGCCATTCTTCCGACCGGTTGGAGCGCTATCGAGCGGCAGCGCGGCGAGGGCGCCGGTGTGAGCGGTCCGAGTGAACACGATCCGATCGATTCGGTCGTTGAGTTCGACGACGAAGCCGGGCGTATCGTCGCCGTGCCGTATTCTCTGCACGCGCCGTACGACGAACTTGAAGCCTTCGTGCGGGCGCTCAGACCGGCGTGCGTCTTCGGAAATACGCGCGTGGATGCGGACGCGGAGGCGCCGCGCGACCCAGCGGTTTGGTTCGAGTCGTTGTGCAGTCAAAAAGACACGCAACTCAAACTCGCGGCGTATCAGGAAGACCTCGAGCGCGCCATGCACCTGGACGAACCGATCGGCGACGTCGTCATCGAGGACGCCGTCCTAAAGTCTCGCGTGAACATCGACGACGTCACGGTGATCGCACCGCATGTACCAGAGAAGCCGGCCGTGCGATTAGTCGCCGCGGAGTGCGGGATGTACTTCGAGCCGCCCAGAAAAATGACGTGGCGCGACCGAGAAGCCGCCCGAGCGGCGGAATTTTTCGCCTCGGCGCAGAGGGTGCTCGGAATCATCACCCCGACGATGAAGACGTCGAAACGAAAGCTCGTCGCGGCGAACGACGAGAACGCGGTAAACGACTGGAAAACTATGAAGAAACGAGGCTTTGTTCCGCCGTTTATGCAGCAGAATTGAAATGTAACATCACACACGCGAAACCGCGTTTTCTAGAACATTCTGAGACGCGACTAATCAGTGCTCACTTTCTCCCGTCAAGACGTCCCTCTTGCACACCGGACAGAGCCTACTTCGCTCTAACCACCGATCGATGCACTCGGGGTGGTAGACGTGCTTACACCCGAGTCTCTTCACGTTCTCGCCGTTCTCGACTTGCGTGAGACACACCGCGCACGTCGCGTTTTCAGCCTCCTCGGCAGCGCGTTCGTACGGCTCCACCGAGACCACCGCGCGTTGATCTTCGTTTAAACCCGATCCACCGCCGAACCCTTCCCAGTTCACCCCTTGCATCGCGTTCAACATGTCGATGATGCTCGGCACGCGCACGACGTCCGCCGTCCCGCCCGTCCCTCGACCCCACGGCGTCCCCCCGAAGACGTCTTCGAACCGCGCGCGCGCCGCGTCCATCGCCCCCGCGATCTCATCACCGCGCTCGCCGAACACATCCGTCTCGAACCGCACCGAGCGTCCGTGACCGATCGGGAACTCGAACGTCGTCGTCGCCCGAACGCCCGCGCCGTCGCCCCGTCCCGCGCCACCCATCCCACCCATCGCCGCGCGCACGAACCCATCGACGAGGGACATCGCGCCCGTGCGCCCGCGTCGCGGCGTCGCCCCATCGCGCCCGTCGTCCACGGCGAACGGCGTCGAATCGACGCGCGCGCGCGCGAGTTCTTCCGCCTGTAATCGTCTCGCCAGCGCCTCGTCGCTCGCCGCGCGCGCCGCGTTCGCCCGCGCGCGCGCGCGTCCGAGGCCCATCGCCCGCGCGGCGTCGTCCTCTTCGAGCTGTAACCGACGCGCGAGCGCTTCGTCGGCGTCGGGATCGCTCGCCATGTGTTCGCGTCGAATTCTTCCGTCCATCGTGACAGCGCGTCGCGTCGCGTCGTCGACGCCGCGCGACGACGACGACGACGACGACGACGACGACGACGACGACGACGACGACGACGATGGCGCTCGCGCGGTGGACGCGCGCGCCGGGGAGCGCGATGGGAGGGATGCACAGTCAGCGCGCGCGACGCGCCCGCGGACGCGCGCGCGCGACGCCGACGCCTCGGTGCGTCGACCGCGCGCGCGCGCGCTTTGATCGCGTGCGCACGCGCGCGCGCGCGCGAGGGCGGGTCGGCGGCGACGTCGCGGCGCGGTCGCGGTCGACGCGCGAGAGCGAGGCGGAGAGCTCGTTCTTCGTCGACGAGGCGCGGGCGGCGACGATGGGCGAGCGCGCGAAAAGGGCGTGCGAGACGCTCACGCATCAGTTTCCGGTGTTCGTCGCGTTGGGGGCGGTGGTCGGGTTCGCGATGCCGGGGGCGGTGAGTTGGTTTCGAGGCGACGCGGTGACGCGCGCGCTGGCGCTGACGATGCTCGGGATGGGGATCACGCTCGACGTGAAGGACTTTGAGAACGTGCTGAAACAGCCGTGGAAGATCGGTATGGGGGTGGCGTTGCAGTACACGGTGATGCCGACGCTGGCGTTCGTGGTTGGAAAGGTGCTGTTGAGCAATTCTTCGCTCGCCGCCGGGCTCGTGCTCGTCGGGTGCTGCCCGGGCGGGACGGCGTCTAACGTCGTGACGTACATCGCGCGGGCGAGCGTTCCGCTGAGCGTGACTTTGACCACGGTGAGCACGTTCATGGCGGCGGTGATGACGCCGACGCTGACGAAGCACCTCGCGGGGAAGATGATACCCGTCGACGTCGCGGGATTGTTCACGAGCACGCTGCAAGTCGTCCTTCTTCCCGTCCTTGCCGGAGTGATGCTCAAACGTTTCGCGCCCAAGGTGAGTGATGCGATCTCGCCGTACGCCCCGCTCGCGGCCGTGCTCACGGTGGCGCTCATTTGCTCGTCCATCATCGGCCGCACGTCGACGCAAATTCTCGCGGCGGGTCCGTCGCTCATCGTCGCCGTCATCTGCCTCCACACCATGGGATTCTTTTCGGGGTACGTCCTCTCGCGCGGCGCGGGTTTCTCCGAGAAGACGTCACGCACGATGAGCATCGAAGTTGGCATGCAGAACTCAGCCTTGGGGGTCGTCCTGGCCTCGGCGCATTTCGCCGACCCGCTCGTCGCCGTGCCGTGCGCCATCTCCGCCACGGTGCACTCCGTGATCGGTAGCATGTTAGCAGCCTTCTGGAGATACATGGACGACACCAAAGTGGAACGCGAAAGTCGTTCGAAGGAGGCGTGGCGCAACGATCCGAATTACACCGCATATAACGACACGTTCAAGGCGGTGACGGGGTTGACGAACATTTCAAGTTGACTTTGCGATGTGAGGCCTCTTCGCGCGTGTGCGCGACGATTTCTGCAACTTTGACTCGCACACAAGACTACGCTACATCTGTTGTTATATCTACTTACACGCTAACGCGAGCTCAGTCGTCTTTACGCAGCCACTCGTTGTTGAACTTGTCTTTGATCTTGCGCTTACGCTCCTTGAGCTTTTCGATTTGTTTCCTCGTCAGCTTGACGGATTTGCGGTTCTTCATTTCGTACAGCGCGGCTTCGAACGAGTTCGTGTCGACGTAATTATCTAACCCTATATCGGCGTAAACCGACGTTGGTTTCGCGATCGTCGAAGCGTCCGTGATCTTGTGAAGGAACTTGTTGTACACCGCGGTGGTCCCGTAAGAGGACTCGAGTTCGGCGGCTCGTTTCTCCAAAACCTTTCGAGCCACCTCCGCGGGATCGGCGCCGCGCATGATGGCTTGCTCCGGAGGTAATCCCTCGAGAACTGCGCGCGCCCAATCGTTTGGTGCCTCATCAGACGTCCCCGGCTCCGTCTCGGGCGCGAGCGCTTCGGCCCGACCCGTTCGAAGCGCGTACTGCGCGTGCGCCGCCGTCGCCCGTGGCGGTAAAACGATCCCCAACGCCGCGCACTGCGCTGCGATCGGCGTATCTCCTAAAACTTCCGCGAGCGTCGTCTCCGCCGACTCGTCTCCGTGTTCGAACAATCGAAGATCCATGGGAAGCATCGAGCGCCACGTCATCAACTGCGCCGCGGTGAACGGCCCTTGCCAATTCTTGTAATCATCCTCGTAGTACCAAGACTTCAACCCAGGAAGCTTCACCGCCGCGACGTCCACGGACGTGTGCTTCTTCAGCGCATCCAGGGCGTCGCCCGTGACCTCGGCGTCGGTCCTCGCCTCGGCGTACGCGCGCTCTCGCGTCTCTTCCTCTCGCGTCTTCTTCTCCGCCTCATCCTTCGCCACCTTCTCCGCCGCGACTTCGTCGAGGATTATCTTCACCCCAATCGGACGATCCCAACTCGTTTCCTGCGTCTCCGAGTGAAAGTAATAAAACGCATCGCTCTCGGCGTCGTACGACTGCACCCACGTCCCCGCCGCCGCCGTCTCCTCCGACGCCGCCGCCGCCGCGTCGCCGTCCTCATCCACCCCCTCCGTCTCCGGCACGATCACCGCCGACACCTCCCATTCCTCTTCCCCCCTATCGCCCGTGAGTTTCCGTTCGATCGTCCCTCGCACGCTCTCCCGCGCGCTCGACTCGAGCAACAACCGCGCGTACTCCTCGCCGCTCGTCGGGAAATTAATCTCCACCCTCGACCCCTCGTCCCGCGCGCGTCCACCCGCATCGAGCCACGTCGACGCCCGTCGCGCCCGCGACGCCGCGCGCGCGAGCGCGATCGTCGTCGCCGTCTCTCGCGTCGCGTCGTCGTCGTCATCATCATCATCGCTCGGTGCGACATCGTGCACGTCGCGCCCACGCGCGTCCACCCGCGCGCGCTTCATCGCGCGACCGCGCTCGCGCCCGTCGCGCGCACCGCGCACCGCGTCCATCCGCGCGCGCGTCGACGCCGACGCGTCGTCGAGGAATCGCGCGCGGATCGATCGTCATCCATCACTGTGTGACCCTCGCGTTGGTGAAAACCTCCGCACACGTCGACCGCGAAGACGCGCCCGGGCGTCGACGCACGCACGCGCGCGCGCGGGGGACGGCGCGAGACCTCGCGCGCGCGCACGCGTCGACGGGCGACCGCGAAGGCGCAGATTCGCGTCGACGACGAGAGAGGGTTTCGCATCGCGTCGACGGGCGATCGAACGACGTGGGTGACGCGCGATGGTGTACAGGACGGGCGATGACGGACTCTCCGTGCAAGATCTGGATGAGCTCGACGTCGGGACGCTCACCCCGCTCTCGCCCGAGGTGATCAGTCGACAGGCGACGATTAACATTGGGACCATCGGGCACGTGGCGCACGGAAAGTCCACCGTGGTGAAGGCGATCAGCGGCGTGCAGACGGTGCGGTTTAAGAATGAGCTCGAACGGAATATTACGATCAAATTGGGATACGCGAACGCGAAGATTTACGCGTGCGAGGATGAGAAGTGCCCGAGACCGGATTGTTATCGCGCGTACTCGTCGACGAAGGAGGACGCGCCGGCGTGCGAGGTTCCGGGGTTCGAGGATAAAAAGATGAAGTTGATTCGACACGTGAGTTTTGTGGATTGTCCGGGACACGATATTTTGATGGCGACGATGTTGAACGGTGCGGCGGTGATGGATGGGGCGCTGTTGCTGATCGCCGGGAACGAGACGTGTCCGCAGCCGCAAACGAGCGAGCACTTGGCCGCCGTGGAGATTATGCGCCTGAAGCACATCATCATCTTACAGAACAAGATTGACTTGGTGCAGGAGAACGCGGCGGCGAACCAATACGATACCATTTGCAAGTTCATCCAAGGGACGATCGCGGACGGTGCGCCCGTGATCCCGATCTCGGCGCAGTTGAAGTACAACATCGACGTCGTGTGCGAGTACATCGTGAAGAAAATTCCGGTTCCCGAGCGCGACTTCTTGTCGCCGCCGAACATGATCGTCATTCGTTCGTTCGACGTCAACAAGCCGGGTGCAGAGGTTGATGAAATTCAGGGCGGCGTCGCCGGCGGCTCGATCCTTCAGGGCGTGCTCAAGGTTGGGCAAGACATCGAGGTTCGCCCGGGAATCGTCACCAAGGACGCCGACGGCAAAGTCAAGTGCAAGCCCATCATGACGCGCATCGTGTCCCTGTTTGCGGAACAAAACTTGCTTCAATACGCCGTTCCTGGCGGTCTCATCGGTGTCGGTACGACGTGCGACCCGACGCTCACGCGCGCCGATCGTTTGGTCGGCCAAGTGCTCGGTCAAGTCGGCGCCTTGCCCGAGGTTTTCACCGAGCTCGAGGTGAACTTTTTCCTTCTCCGTCGTCTCCTCGGCGTGCGCACGCAAGGCAGCGAGCGTCAGAGCAAGGTGAGTAAGCTCGCCAAGAGCGAAGTTTTGATGTTGAACATCGGTTCCATGTGCACCGGCGCCCGCGTCGTCGCCGTCAAGGCGGACATGGCGAAGCTCCAGCTCACCTCGCCGGTGTGCACCAAGGTTGGCGAGAAGGTCGCCCTGAGCCGCCGGGTCGAGAAGCACTGGCGTCTCATCGGATGGGGCTCCATCCAGGCCGGCACTCAGCTCGAAGAATAGATCGCCGCACCAGTTGACGTCCGATGGAATAGTTTTAACGACACACACGCCACAAAAAATCCCGACGCGTCGCGCTCGAACCAAGCTCGACGCCTCCGCGCGCCCGCCGACGCCGCACATCGCGTCGACGCGCGCCACCACTCGTACCGCTCCCACGCGCTCGGACGCACACGACGTCTGTCGATGTCCTCTCCGTGGGCGAAGATCGTTCGAGACGATCCCGAACCGCGAGCGGTCGATCAAGACGAGGCACGACGAGCCGCCGCCGCCGCCCGAACGCTCGATGAAATCATCCGCTCGCCGACGCACCGTAAAGCGATCGTGGACGCGAACGCGATATTCAAGGGCGCGATCGGGAGCTTCATCGACCCGGAGACGACGCTGGTGACGATCGCGGAGGTGCAGGAGGAGATACGGGACGAACGCGCGCGGCGCGTGGCGGGGGCGATGGCGTTGACGACGCGCGAGCCGACGGAGGAGGCGATCGAGGCGGTGAAGACGTTCGCGGCGAAGACTGGGGATTTACAAGCGCTCTCGAGGGTTGATTTGAAGTTGATCGCGTTGGCGTACGACGTGGAGCGGATGTGTCACGGGGTGGAGCACCTGCGGACGGAGCCGGCGCCGCCGAGGACGACTGGGAAAAAGGCGAGCGCGAACGAAAAGCGACCGGGATGGGATTTCGTCCCGAACGCGGACGATTGGGCCGAGTTAGACGAGATGAATGACGCACATGAGCAGGCAGAGCGGGAAATGCGTGCGAAGATGGCGAGCGTGGCGTTGAGCGAGGAAGCGGAGAAGAAGACGGAGACGGCGGCGGATCGAGAGCGACGGGAGGACGAGGAGCGGCGTGCGAGGGAGCGAGCGGAGACCGCGGCCGAGACCGCCGCTGGGCAATCTCACATAGAAAAAGATGATGGTGATGACGACGGGTGGGAGCGAGCGGTGTGTCGAACGACGCGGGTGCGTCGACAAAAGCGAGAGGAGAGGGCGCGGTGGGAAGCCGAGCAAGCGGCGGCTGAGGCTGAGGTATCGCGAGAGCAGAACGAAGACGACGACGGTAGCGCGCGCGCCGAGGAGCTGGAGGATGTCAGTAAGCGTGCCGTCGACTTCTTCACCTCGCGCGGTGAGCTCGAGGAGGGTGCGGAGGAGGAGGTCGACGACGAAGACGAGGACTACGACGAAGTCGAGCTCGAATCGTGCGTCTCCTCCATCACGGCGGATTTCGCAATGCAAAACGTCATCCTGCAGATGGGACTCAAGCTCATCGCCCCCGATGGCATGCGTATCGAGCAACTTCGACGATGGGTCCTGCGCTGTCACGCGTGCAACGAAATCTCCCGCGACCTCTCGCGCATCTTCTGCCCAAAGTGCGGGAACCAAACCATGCAAAAGGTTGAGCACACCGTCACTCGAGACGGCGTCGAACAATTCGGCGTGCGTAAAAAATTCGTCTTGCGCGGAAGCAAGTACTCCCTACCCTTACCCAAGGGCGGTCGCCGCGAGAAGAAGATCATCCTCCGCGAGGATCAGCTCATGAGCGTGCGCCTGACAAAGAAACAAATCGGTGAGGACGTCTTCGCCGCCGAGTACAACGAGGAATCCTACGCCGACGACAAGCGATTCGCCAGCCAAAAGACCGCGTTCGAGGTCGCGGGCGACGTTCGTCGAAATCCCAACGAGCGTCGCCACGTCGCCACGAACAGACGCCGGAAGTAGCGTCGCGTCCGCGCGGCGTCCGTCGCTCGCCTTTTTAAATGACACCACGCCAGCTGTCACCACCATTCGCACTCGTCGCCTCGCCCCGAGCGCGCGCCGCCCCGAGAGCGCGCGCCCGCGACGCGCTCGCGATGCTTTCGTCCGTTCCAGAGCGCTCACGCGCGATCAAACCCATCGATCGCGCCGTGGTCCATCGCATCACCAGTGGACAAGTCGTCGTCGATCTTCGCTCGGTGTGCAAGGAATTGATCGAAAACGCCCTCGACGCCACCGCGCGATCGATCGAAGTGCGGTTTAAAGATCACGGCGTGGACGTCGTCGAGGTCTCGGACGACGGCCGAGGGGTGCGGCGGGGAGACGTGGGGATGCTGACGACGAAATACGCGACGAGTAAGCTGGAGAGGTTTGAGGATTTGGAGGCGCTGCGAACGTTTGGATTTCGAGGCGAGGCGCTGAGCTCGTTGTGTGGAGTATCGGGAGAGTTTGAGGTCACGACGAGGACGGAGGAAGATGTGGCGGGGTTGAAGATCGCGTACGACGGCGAGGGGAGGGTGATGAGCGAGAGCACGACGGCGAGGTCGGTGGGGACGACGGTTCGCGTCGGACGATTGTTCGAGCCGCTGCCGGTGCGGAGGAAGGAACTGATTCGAAACGCGAAGAGGGAGTACGGGAAAGCGTTGGCGATCGTGCAGGCGTACGCGTTGGTCTCGAAGTCCGTGAGGATACTGTGCACGCACCAGAGCGGGAAATATGGGAGGACGAACGTCTTGCACACGCGCGGAGAGGACGCGAGCGTGCGGGAAAACATCGTCACGGTTTTTGGGTCGAAGATGATCGCATCCATGCGAGAGATCGAGCTGGAGCTCGAGGTAGGCACTGGTGTGCGCGTGAGTGGGTTCATATCCGAGCCGCGCTCGGGATGCGGACGCGCAGGGACGGATCGACAATTTTATTACGTCAACGGTCGGCCCGTCGATTTACCACGCGCCGCGCGAGTGGTTAACGAGACGTATCGCTCGTTCAATCCGAATCAAGCGCCCATGGTGGTGCTAGATTTTCAGCTCGCCACGAACGCGTACGACGTCAACGTGACGCCGGACAAGCGTAAGATTATGTTACACGACGAGGAGGCGATACTGGCGCAAATGCGGGACAAGCTCCTAGAGGCGTTTTCGCCAACTAGATACACGTATGCTGTGACACAGGAGGCGCCAGCGAGCGCAGAAAAGGCCTCGCCTTTAGAACTTAGTGAACAAAACGGCGCTGAGGACGATGAAGACGCCGAGGACGAAACTTGGACGCCGGCAAAGGGTGACGACGAGGAGACGTTTGCGGCCGTTTTGCGCACGGCGAGCGGTCAAGCGGAGGGCTCGCGCGGTTCGAAGAGAGATTCTTCGGCACGAAGCATCGACGCGCAGAGGAATTTACAAACTTTCGGATTTACTCGAGACGTCACGAGCGTGGCGATCGGTGGTGGGTGGAAAATAGCGACGACCACGCAAGTCTCTGACGAAGCGATGGAGACTGAGGCACCCGCGAAGGCGGAAACGACGACCGTCTCGCCATCGATGGACGAGATAGAAGAGGACGATGAAGACGCAAAACGTCCACGATTAGAAGACACTCAGAAGGACGAGGACGAGCGCCCGAGCTTCGCGCACGTCGACGTTGAGTTTGAAGACGTCGGCGCCACGGTTGAGGAATTGAGAAGACCAGATGCGACAGAGGAAATTTTGGACGATGGATCGATTCCATTTTCCATGGAAGACATGCTTGCGCGCCGGCGCAACTCTCACAAACGCGCCACGGCGAAACAGTCGGCCGTTAAGGCGTTTGATTCCGCACACGTGTCCGCCGCAGATGACGACACGGCGGAATCAACGGAGCGAGCCACCGCCGCGGCGAGAGAGCTCGAGCGCGTCTTCGACAAGGCAGATTTCGCAAAGATGCGCATTGTCGGACAGTTCAACCTTGGATTCATTCTCGCCACTCTCGGCGATGATCTGTTCATCATCGATCAGCACGCGAGCGATGAGATATACAACTTTGAGCGTTTGCAGCGCACGACGACGCTCTCCAAGCAGCCGCTCATCCATCCCGTTCCGCTCGATCTCACCGCAAGTGAGGAGCAGACGGTGCTTCAGAACATGCCGGTGTTCTTGAAGAACGGTTTCGGGTTCTGCGACGTCGCGGAATCCGTCCCGGGTGCGGACATGAACAACTCCTCCGTGGACCCGAGTGCACGATGCGGCTCCTTGCGTCTCTCAGCAGTGCCCGTGCTCAAGAACGTCGTCTTCGACAAAACAGACGTCCACGAGCTCGTGTCTATGCTCGATAGAGGTCAGCACTCTTTACCAGCGAACTCGCAGCTCTCGATCGGGCTCACGAGACACGATCAACGTGGGGATTCGTCTTCCGACGTCCGCGTGCTCCGTCCCGCGAAAACCCGCGCAGCGCTCGCGATGAAAGCCTGTCGCGGGTCCATCATGATCGGCGACGCCTTGGATGCGCGATCGATGCGAAGGGTTTTGAATAACCTCACCACGCTCGACGCGCCTTGGAACTGTCCGCACGGTCGTCCCACCATGCGTCACCTCTTTGCGCTCCGTCGAGCGTTCTGAGCACTTTTGACACAAAAGTCACATCCACGAGTAAAGACTCAACATGTGAGGGACTCTAAACACCCGCGTGTGGAAGTGCGCCGCCGCCGTCGTGGCGCCGCCATTAATTCCTCCGTCACAACACCGCGCGTCGTTCGTAAACATGGCCGAGAAGAAGGAGAAGAAGGAGAAGAAGGAGAAGAAGGAGAAGAAGGAGAAGAAGGAGAAGCGCGAGCGATCGTCGGACGAAGAAACCGCGGATGAGGTTGAGGACAAGCGCCCAAAGGTTGAAGACGCCGAAGAAGAGGAAGAGGACGGATTCAAGGTGCACAAGAAGTCCGATGCCGATCTCTCGGGCAAAGCCACGATCTCGACCGGGAACTACGAAGATATCACGCTGAACTGCCGCGATTGCAACGGTGAGTTCGTGTTCACCGTCGGTGAACAAGAGTTTTACTCGTCGAAGGGTTGGACCAACCAACCGACGCGATGCGAGCCGTGTAAGAAGGCGAAGAAGGAACGCTTTGGTGAGGACGTGCCGAAGTGCTACGCGTTCGAGCGCGGTGAATGCAATCGTGGGGACTCTTGTAGGTTCTCTCACGGACCGGGAAGCGCGGCCGGTCGCGGTGGCGGCGGCGGCGGCGGCGGCGGCGGCGGCGGCGTGTGCTACGCGTTCCAAAACGGCAACTGCTCGTACGGCGATTCGTGCCGATTCTCTCACGACCCGAACGCACCACCGTCGCGACCGGGCTCCAGAGGTCCGCCCGGGAAGTGCTACGCCTGGGCCGAGGGTAACTGCACGCGAGGCGATTCGTGCCGTTTCTCTCACGAGTGATCGGCGCGAGACGCGTGAATTTTCCCAATCGACGACGCGATTCGTGGTTTCGATCGCACGTCACACCGATAAACCCCCGTCATAATCTCATTCGATTTTAGCGTTCTCTTGATTGTAGCACTACATGACCGAAGTGATGAAACGAAGAACCGTAACGCGTCCCGCTCGCGCCTCACGTCGCACTTCACTGTTCGACGCCGCGTCGTGTCGCGTCGCGTCGACACGTCGCGGGTGACCGCGCGGCGATGTTCGCGGACGATGATGATGACGACATCGACCCGCTCACGCGCGCGGCGCAACTAAGAGCAGAAGCGCGAGAGACGCGCGAGGCGTTGGAGCGGTTGGCGAGAAGCGCGAAGGACGCCGAGGAACGAAAGCGACGCGTCGACGCTCGAGCGCGCGTGGCGGAAAAGATGATGGCGTTGAAGGCTATAGATGACGTTACACAAAACTGATCGCTTAAACGCTCGTTCACTTCTTCGTGGGTGACGACGGGACGTCGAGGACGACGAGACTGCCCTCTCCGGCTAACTCCTCCATGTCGATACTGCGTTCTATTTTGCCGCTAGCGAATAAGACGTCCGCCTCGACGTGGGTATCGAGGTCTCGAACCTTGATTACTTTGCCAGCCATCCAAACGCTCTGGCGCTCCCAGTGGACGCAGATATATCGTCCAATGAGGGAGCTGAACTCCATGTTTGAGTCAACAGTTTTTCCGGCGTACGGCTCAGGCGCGCCGTGCTCGCATCCAGGAAACATGTGCGTCCACGTCATATCGTCGGCGCTCGCGGTGACGATATCTGACGCCTTGCGTTTTCGAGGGGTTGACCGAGGCGCCGGCGAGTCTCCGGCGGCTCGATTGGAGCCGCTCATAGATTTTCCCGCTTCCTGCGCGCTCACCTCAATTCCCGCAGCCTTGAGCTGTTGCATGCGCGCGTACTCTCCTTTCACCTGATCCAACGTCGGACCGTCGGGGTGTCCGTATCGCGCGCTCTTCCATCCGTCGTCTGCCTTCTTCGTGGGATTCGTGATTCGCTTGGCGAAAATCGCCCAAGCGCTCGGACTCGTAAACGTCTTCCCTCTGAACGAAATCAGCCCATTTTCGTCCAAATCCGCGCACCACGTGTTATCCTGATACACGATGTACAACTTCTCTTTCCCTGGCACCAACAGACCGCTCGCCAACAGATCCTCGATCGAGCACGCCACCTTCCCGAGACCCGCGCGTCCGCGCTCGCCCAGCTGCACCAACGGCTCGCCCGACGACCGATTTTTCCGCGTTTGCTTCCCTACCGACCCCCCATCGCCGTCTCCATCCCTCCGCGTCGTTCCAACCTTTGGATTCGGGTTCCCACTCGCGCGTTCCCTCGCGAACTGCCTCGCCAGATGTCTCGCCCGCCACGTCGTTTTGCTTCGTTCCAACCACGCCGGGGCGTCGTTCCTCCACAACTCCCGCATCGTCTCCGCCTCCTCCTCGCGATCGAGTCTCGTTTGCATCACTTGCCAGTCTCGTAAGATGTCTCCCCCCGAGCCGTTCGTCGTCGCCTCGCGCGTGGCGTCGCGCGCGTCCGACGCGTCATCATTCGTCTCGGTGCGCGTCTCGTGCGTCTCCTCGGCGGCGAATTCGTACCCGATCGAGGCGATCTTCCCCGTCGTCGCGCTCACGGCGACAAAGGGAAGGGCGCCGGTGACGATGGGCATCGCGCGCGGTCGATGGTACGAGGACGACGCGTCGGTGAGTGAAGGCGGGCGCGCGGGACGCGCGGCGGCGCGCGAGGTCTAAAAATTGACGACGCGATCGTTACACGACTACGCGCGCGCGTTTTCCTCGTCGATGGCGCTTTGTAAGCGTTCGATGAGGGCAGCCTTGAGGCCGGCGACGCTCAGTCCGCGGGCGCTCAGGAGTTGTTTCAGGACGACGACGGTGAGCTTTGAGAGGTCGCCGTTCACGGACGCTACCGGATCGTCTCCCGCGCCCACGGATCGGGGCGCGGCGCGCTCGACGGAGACCGATCGCCGAGAGGGTCGTCTCCGCACCGGCGCGTCTTCGATCGCTTTGTCCTCGCGCTCGACGGAGACGGACCTTCTCGAGCTTCGTCTCGGCGCCGGCGCGTCCGTCGCCGCCGGCGCGTCCGGAATGACGCACGCAATCTCCACCACGCGCGATGGAGCGGGCTCGTCCACGTTCCTCGCCGGTTCCTCGCGTGTCCGTGGTTCGGGCGCCTTCGACGCCTTCGACGCCCTAGCGGCGGCTTGAATGGCCTCTATGTCGTCGTCCTCGTCGTCCGACGGCTCCTCTCGTCTCGCCGTCGACGGCGTTTTCGCCCGCACCACCGCCGCTCTCGG